TCAATCAGGAAATTGTCTTTTTACTTTATTATGTCCTTTGAAACATAATACTTGTAGTTGTTATAGAGTCTGCTTTTTTCTTTTGTATTTAGCTTTGATATAGCCAAGAATCATTGCCTGAGGTCACAAAGATTTAACTTCTGTGTTTCTTTCTAAGAGTTTTGTAGTTTTAGATTTTATATGTAGATCTTTGACTCATTTTAAGTAATTTTTAGACTATGGGATGAGGTAGGGGATCCAAAGTTATTTCCAGTTCTCCAAGCACCAAAACTATTCCCATTGGTTTGTCTTGGTACCTTTGTCAGAAATCAGATGACTGTAATTATAAGGGTTTATTTCTGGGATTACTTCTGTTTGATTGCTCTATATGTCTATACTTATACCAGTACTACACCACACTGTTTTGATTACTATAGCTTTGTAGTAAGTTGTTTTTGTAGTAAGTTTTGAAATTAGGAACTAAATTCTCCAACTTGTTTCTTTCCAGACTGTTTTGCTGACTTCAAAGTCTTTTACTTTTCCATAGGAATTTAAGATTAACATCAATTTCCTCAAAAAAGGAGTTGAAATTCTAAAGGGGATTTCATTGGATCCATAGAGCAATTTGAAGAATATAGTAGGACCTTGATTCATGAATATAATTCTTTCCACAGTTCTAATTGGGCTGAGTTGGTTGTGAACCAAATCAAATCCAGTGCTTAGATTCAGAGTTGGCCTTTTGGGGAAATTCGATTTGGTTTGGGACCAGAGTTGTGGAAAGAATTACGTTCATGAATGAAGGTACCACTGAATTCTCATTTTGAATAGTATGAAGTCTTCTGATGCATCAGCATGGGAAGTTTTTCCATCTATTTAGGTCTTTATTTCAACAGTGTTTTGTAGATTTTCGGAGTTTGAGTTTTAAACTTTCATTTAAACTTATTCCTATGTAATTTATTTGTTCCAATGCTATTGTAAGTGGAGTTGTTTTCTTAATTTAATTTTTAGTTTGCTCATTGCTACTGTCCAGAGACACAACTGATCTTTGTATGCTGACCTTCTATCTGACAATGTTGCTCAACTCGTTAGTTCCAGTAGTTTTTAGGGGATTTCTGAGGATTTTCTATTTAAAATCATGTCAGCTAATGGAGAGCTTGATCTGGTTTCTTTTCATTTCCTTTTCTTACCTAATTGACCTGCTTTTTGTGTTTGAGCCATTTTCTTCTTTCCCCTAGCTTATTTTCTTCCTCCTCCTCCTGTCTCCCCCTCCCCCCCCTTCTTTCCCCTCCCTCTCTCTCCTCTTCTTTGGTCTTGAGTTTTTGTCACTGTCTTATTACTGTGTGTGCTGTTTGTCTAGAAAACATACTAACCCTGTGTTACATGGAGCAGAATGACCTCCCTCGTTTGTTCTGCATCCAAGTTAGCTATCGTAAACTCTGGGTCTCGTACCATCTCTAGCCTCTATAGTGGACTGAGTGTCAGGCAGAGCAGCCTGCCTGTCTGATCCTGGTTGGTAGTAAACATGGTTTCCTCCCTACCGTCCTTGGGACTGTTTTGAATGCTGAATGAGACCGAGTGTGGGGTACTTTTTAAACAGAGTATTGCATGCAGGCATGCACTGCTATTGTTGATAGTAATGCTGATAAAGAACGAGGAACTTTCAGATTGGTGCTGGCCAGGTCTGAGGCTGGCCTTCCCCAGATACTGAAGGGGCAGACAAGATGGGGGCTGCCCACTGACTGACTATAGCCCCTGTGTCCTTGAGCCCAAATGGGGTGGCATTTTTTATTTTCCCATTCTCCTGCCCTTGTGCCAGACACCTTCAGAATGCCTTGGTGTTATACCTGGCACTAGCTGTCCTTGCACCAGGCTGCAGTGGACACAACAGCTGTGCTGTGAGGTGCAGATTTCTTTCTCCTGAGCCCCACCTTTGTAGTCCTAGAATCTGCATTCTCATTTCTGTAGCCATCACAGCACTCTGCATGGGACCCTGCGCAGAGTATGGGCTGGCCATGACTCCAGGTTTGTTATTGTCATTTCAGAGACCTGGGGGGGGGGGGCGGGGTGAGACAGGGCACTGGGTTGAAATGGGCCTCACACTTTGTATCAGGTTTGAGTCAGTCTCCATACAAAAGAAATCCACCAAAATGGCGAATGAACCCTAACTCGAGTTTATTTCATCTTGTTAGGATCTGAGAGATTGGTCTTCCTCTTCATACTTCTCCCAGCTCCCCAGCCCAGAAGAGGCGTGGTCACCCGTCTCACAGTCCATTGGCCAGATGCAGCCACATGGCCGCTCACAGCTGCAAGGCTAGGCTGGGAAGTGTAGTTTTCTATGGCCATCTTGTCCCCGTGCACAACTTTTGGATGGGAAGGATTCTCTTGGTGGGCAGCCATGGTCAGGGAGGGGAACTAGCATTGAGGCTGCCCAAGACAAGCCAGGGCAGATCAGTTAATCCTCTGGGTTTGGCCATGGGGTGGGGCTCTTCATGCAGTGTGCTGGGTCCTAATCCATCTCTACCACTTTCCTACCCCATGACCCTAGGATGTCCCTCAGCCTTGCTCTGCCTGTTCCCCCACCCATGAGGGAGGGCTCTAGGGTTGTTCCATAGTACAGCACCCACTAGGCACCCATTGTTTTTGCTGATCTCAAGTCAGCCCCTCCCTCATGCCTTGATCAAAGGGTTCAGGTGAAAGCAGCATGAACTCATGGTACAGGGGTCCACTCCAGCTCCTCCTGAGGGCTGTCCCAGGCTGTGTGGACATGCTCTCCTTTGGCTGTCAGCTTCTGAAACCCTCCATGTTTCAGTTGGGGCACAGGCTCTGGACACGGCTGGGAAGTAAGTCCACGAGACCCAGTCCACCAGAACCAAGTCTCACTCCATGGAAAGTGGCTTTGGTAGCCTCTGCTTCCACCACTTCCCAGGGCCTTGTGCATGCAGCTCAGCTGGTGCCCCATGAATATCCTGGCCTCAAGAAAGGCACGATTTTGGCAAGGGACAGCTTGCCTTCTGCAAGCCTGAGTTCCCCCTGCAGACATGCTGATGAATTCAGAACTAGAATAAAACATGGGGAGTAGTCCTACAGATGGAGACCTGCCTGGGCACATAGCCAGCCCACATGTCCACCTGGCAGGTAGACACAAAAAATTTTGAGGATATCATTCATCCTGCTCCAGATGACTTGGGTGGGCATTTTGAAATCAGAGTGCACCTGCTAGGTGGATTGAGGAAAGGCACATGGGCGGGCATTGAGGTTTGCAGCATAAATAACTGAAGGATAGAGAAGCCGCTGACGAAAAATGTAGTCAGAGTAGGGACACATGATGAGGCTGAGTGCGCAGGAGCGTGGTGGGTCTCAGTGGGCTCAGGAATCCAAGGGACAAGGAGCAGAGGACAGGGAAAGGTCACAGCAGATCAGGCTGATTAACAGCCCACCCCTCCCTGGAGGCTCTGGAAGGCAGGCGCAGAGACGCTCAGGTCCTTTACAGCAGTCAGTCTTCCTGGGGGTCTGGATACGCCAGGCTTACTGGGTCAGGGCTCCACACTCATACCAGAAACCCAGAAGGAAGAGCCCGTTGCACTGGAGCGCCAGGAGCCCTGTGCTAGAACACCCCAAGCAGCTTTGCCTAGCATCCTTGACCACGGAGAAGCTCCCATGCCATCTGCAGTGCACAGCAGAACCCGAGCCCGCCTGTACTGCCTCCCTGCTGCAGAAGCAAGCAGCGGCTGGCCCTGGCACAAAGCGATAGTTCTCGGGTGCATGGGGCTGAGCAGGAGAAGCCTGCTTTTCCATATTTTGAAAGGGGGTCTCATTGTGTGTTTCCAGCCAGGCTCCAGTGGTGCTCCTGCCTCGGCCCTCTGAGTAGCTGGGAGTTCAGCTGCTCAGTGCCACCCTGGGCTTTCTCTGCCCTTACGTCAGCACTTTGTGACCACTTTGGAGCATTTAGTGGTCATTCATTGTTTGGTGTCCCCCCCATCAGTAAAACACTGCCTCCTGCTGGAGATGAGGCTTTCCATGGTTCTGGGGAGCTTCTGGGTTCCTCTGGGCATGTCCAGCACGCGGTTCTTCACATGCCCGCCTAACTCCATCCAGAAAGGCTGAAATCCAACTGCAGTCCGGGGGTGGTCACTTCTCCACCTTTGCTTACCTGCTTGGTCTTTTTTTCATTCATTCGTTTGTAGTGCTGGGGCTGAGATCCAGGGCCTTGTGCATGCAGCAAGTGTGCCTCCACTGAGCTGTACCCCCGAGTTCTTCTTTTAACCTTTACCACAGTGACGAAGGAAAGATTCGCTCTCACTTGAATTCGAGTTTCTTTGACTTTTGGATGGGAAAGTATGTTTTCATGTCTGTTGGACATTGGTAACACATGTGAGTTGCTTGTTTATACATTAGTTCATTAAAAACAGTTGTTCAACTCTTAGCTGGCCCTGGTGGTGCACACCTGTAAGCCCAGTACTTGGGGAGGCTGAGGTGGGAGGATCCTTGTGAGTTCAAGGCCAGCCTGGACTACACAGTGAGACCCTGTCTTGAGAGAGAGAGAAAAAATGTTCAGCTCTTATCAATCTCTATAAATTATGAGTATTGAACTTTTGTTCTGTTTTCCAAATATATTTTCCTAATTTTTCCCCCTCTGAGTTTGTTTGTTTTTCAGTGATTAGAGAAGAACAAAAGCACGTGTCTTGTACTTTTTATGCAATCAAATATATTAATCTCTCCCTCTTTTTTTTTCTTAATTTTTTGCCTTTGGAGCTCTGCCTGGGTAATAATTGTATATTTGTGTCTGTTTAGTTTTCTGACACTTCTTTCTTCTTTTGTACCATGATCCTCAGAACACTTACATTTTATTTAATGTAGGGCCCATCTCTGCTTTGTCCCAGCATCTAGATGACCCCACAGAGCGCAGAGCATTCCTTGGGGGTCTCAGGCCCACTCCCCATGGGCAGCAGCTCCCAGTGGCGCCAGCACCTCCCTTCACTGCCTAGAGCTGCCCTTACAGCCTACCCTGTCTCTGTCCTCAGGCACCTGCGCTCGACTGCAGCCGCCCCCGCAAGGCACCCTCCAAATCCTCCGTGGCGATGGCACTTCTGTGGGGACTGTGCTTGTGTTCCACTGCCCCTCCGGCCATCAGATGATGGGGTCTGGCCTGCTTACCTGTGCCTGGAGGGGAATCATTGCCAGCTGGTCTTCAGGAACCCCTGTGTGCAAGGGTAAGATCTCTCCCTCCTGAGCTGCCCCAGTTGGCCACACAGATAGCAGTGGCTGACCAGCCACAGGGCCAGGCTGGTGGTCAGGCCCTGCTCCCACTGGCCAGCAGCCCTCCAAGTTCCATGTCTGCAGGGCGGACCCCTGTCCCAGCTGTCGGCTCAGGTCCTGCTCTGCCCCGCTGTGGGCCCTGACTGCTGAGGGCTACAGAGGTGGTATGAGCTGGCATGAGTTGGCGCTTGGTCATCTCTTAAGAGGAAAATATGTTTATCTACATGACTGCAGCAAACCCTGATAGGATAATCCATGTACCAAGAAGTCTAGGTACCAGGATCACAGAGAGGCAGGATATGCCCAGTCCTGGAGGTCTGATCTCGGAGGAAAAGCCATTTTCTAGTTTTCTAGTTTCTTGCTTTCTTATCCATTCAGGCATGCATGAATGCATCTAGGGGGGGCTGAGTTCAGGGCCTTTGCTCTAAACTATATCCTCTTTTATTTTTTGATACAGTCTTGGTAAATTACTCAAGTGGCTTGAACTTGTGATCCTCCTGCCTCAGCCTCTCAGAGTGCTAGGATGACAAGCATGCACCTCTGTGCTGCCTCTAATACTGGCCTGGGTCCTGGTGAGGCTCTGTTGGGTGTGACCTCAACCTCAGGGTCCTGGGACGTGGCTACTGTGTTTCAGGCACGAGGAGCCTCTGGGGGCCAAGGGTTCCCACTACCACCAGAGGGAAGATTCTCAGACCTTGTTCCACACTGCCCTTCTGGCTAGAGCGTGGTCACGTCTCCTTTCGGAGACTGAGTCTTCATTCCAGACGACCAGCATCCAGCTCGGGAGCCAAGGTCATGGGGCCATGGACAGGAGCTGTGACATCTTGTAAAATCTGACAGCACTGGTCCTTGGTGCCTAATTGGGGTCAGGAGGCTGATAAATACAGACGTCCTTAGACCCCCGTGATGGGCATTTTCCTTGCTGTTACTGCTTCTTGAAAAGTGCCCTAAGGAGGCCTCCAAAGGGTTTCACCTGCTTGGGGCACTGCAGACCCTCCAGCGATGGGCTGGGCAAATCCTTACTGATGCTGTATGTGCGGTCACCTGCTCCACAGCCCCTCTTCACTCTGCAGGGCAGGACCTAAGTTCTCTGGCAGAACATCTCCAGTTTGCTATTCTGAACTCCTACATACTCTCTAAAACCTTGCCCTAATGCCCTCCTCTCGGAGAAGATCTTGAAAGCCCTCTCTGCACACACAGCTTGCACAGACTTTGCCTCCCCACCAGTGCCTGCTGCCTGCCCCAGCACAGAGCCCTCGAGGGCCAGCCAGGTCCCATCAGCCCCCGTGTCCCTTCGTCCCCACCTCCGGGGCCTGGCAGGTCCGAGAGCCACACCATGACCCACACGGTGACCAGGGGTCGTGTCCCTCGCAGCCGTGCCACCCCACGAGACCTTCGGCTTCAAGGTGGCGGTGATCGCCTCCATTGTGAGCTGTGCTGTCATCCTGCTTATGTCCACGGCCTTCCTCACCTGCTGCCTCCTCAAGTGTGTGAAGAGGAGCGAGCAGCGGCGCTCCAGCAGGTACAGTGCCGGAACGTCAGGGTCCTGCCCGGGCCACCTGCTCCTGTTGCTGCCACCCTGGGCCAGGCTGCAGAGGCCCCTGAGTGGCCCTGGCTGCTGAGGGGGGATCCCTGTGTGAAGCCGGTGCAGCCCCTAGAGAGGTGGATGTGGAGCTCAGTGGCTACTGGAGCACTGCGACCCTGTGGGTGCAGGGAGCTGGCTTCCTCTTTCTTTTTTTTAAACCCAAGGCCTCCCACTGAGCTCCATCCTCAGCCTTTTGTTTAAATTAAATTTTTTTTTTTTTTTTTTTTTAAATTTTGAGGCAGGATCTCACCAAGTTACCCAGATGGGATTCAAACTTGTGATTCCTGTGCCTCAGCCTCCAAGCACTGGGATTCTAAGCACATGCCACCACGCCCAGCTTGGGTTTATTCCTCCACCCGTGTGTGCCTGGGGTTCCTCCCCTGCTGTGTTGGTTGCTTTCAGGGCTGCTGAGACACCCCTAGCTGATGCAGCCTCACAGTGCTCTGGGCTGAGGGGTAGTGGACCCACAGTTTCCTCCCCTACTGCAACTGAAGCTTTTCTTGTCTTTTGTGGTAAAATCTGCACAACATAAAATTCACCGCTTTCACCATCTTTAAGCGTTCAGCTCCAAGGCACTATTTGCCTTGGTCATGGTTGTCCTATAGCCGCCCAGCTTTATAAGAAGCTGTTACTGGACCACACCCACTCACTGCTTTCGGATGGCAGAGTTTAGTTGTAGCCGGTGGCCCCTCGAATATCTGCTGTCCGGCTCTTGCAGCGGTTTGGTAAGCTGTCCACACCAAGAACCTGCCCTGGCTTTGTGTGGACTCTGCCATTTCTGCACCTGTGCTCCTGCTCAGTGTCCTTCCTCCCCATCTCTGTCCTCCAGGACAGCCCAGATGTGGTACCAGCTGAGAGGTGAGGACCTGGAGACAGTGCAGGCCTCGTATCTGGGCCTCAAGGGCCAGAACTACAACAACAGCAGCAGTGGCGGGGGAGGTGGTGGCAAGCATGGAGGCCGGCACAGCCAGGCGCATGACAACCACAGCTTCACCGTGTAAGTCGCTGGGGTTGCTGTGCCCGGGAGGGCTGGGGATGCGAGTGCAGAAACGCTGGAATCCTGGGATGGTCCCGGAGCACCTGCCACCTGCTGAGGGCCTGCATACCTCATCTGCTAGAGCCTCCAGCCCTAACTAGGAAACAGAAAGCCAGCGATGCTTCTAGAACCCTGTCCTGATCGTGGTGTCTTGAGACTTCTAGGCTGTAGGATTATCAAGGCCTGCCAGCACAGGGGTCCTTCCCCAGCCCCGGGGTGGGGGGTCCCCTCCCTCTGCATCTCAGTCTCTGGCCCTCTACTTCCTGTCTCTCCTCTCCCAGTACACACATGCCTTTGTTTTCCTGAACCAACACAAGGATGCTCCTTTTCTGCCCCAATGCTGCATAGCCTGGAGGGAGGAGTGCGTTTCTCAGTGATGTCCACACTTTGGCCCAGGGTCACCTGCAGCACTCAGCCACCAGGTCTCCTGGATCCTTTGTCAGAATGGGCTTTTGTGCTTTGTGGCCTGACCTTTTGAAGGCTCCTTCCTGTCTGGTGTACAGAGACCCCTGCCTGGGTCTGTCATGTTTGTGCAAGACCGAGCTGAGGTTTGTGTGGGTGGTACAGGTGCTACCTGTGGGAGACAGGGACACAGACTAGGTTGCCCCTGTAGGAAGACACAAATGAGGGTCCCTCATCTGAGACGAGTCTCCCAGATGCCTCCGCCACTGGGGTGTGAAGAAGGGGCTCTGACCCAAGGGCTCCGCAGTGCTTAGAGCAGGGTAACTCCTCAATCGTGTTGTGATTCTGCTATACTTCCCTTGAGGAGCTTGACCTTTTTTCGCTTCTCTTTCTTTCTTTCATTTTTCTGTTGGTGATTCTTGTTTTGCTTTGCTTTCAGCGTTGAGGATGGAACCCAGAGCCTTGCACACATATGCTAGGCCAGCTCCCTACCTCTGAGCCACACCCCTGGGTCTTCCTTTCTGTTGTTTTTGTGACTTTGCTATCACAGTAAACTCGCAGATATTCTTTTCTAGAACTTTAACTCTGGGAAATTTTCACAAATGCACAAAAGGGGACAAAACTGTGTCCAGGTCTCCTATGCTGCCTCCTCTCCTTTGGGGTCCCCTCCTCCTTCCCCTTCCTCACACTCTACCTAGGAGTCTGGTTGTCCTTTGCCATGTCCCTGCCATCCTTGGGGCACTCCTGCTCTGCACTAACTGCTCCAGGCTTGTCCTGTGCCTGCCATGCTTGGCTCACTGCCACTGTGGGCCCCAGGGAGGCTCCCGAGGCTGCAGACCTCCGTGTGCCTCAGTTTCCTTACCTGTGAGGCAAGACTCAAGCAGTGCCCATATCCTGGTGAGCCCAAGCCTAGACAAGAGCTCAGTAAATACTAACCATTACTGTCATGACTATCCGTCCCTACCCTGATGTAGAGGAGGAAACTGAGGCACAGGGTGGTGACCTGAGTCATGCGCAGTGCACTCAGCCTGGCCGATGCCTGTAGGGAGGGATTTCGTTTTTGCTTCCCTCTCTGCGGTCTTGGGTGCACACTGTGTCAGAGACTGCTTTTGTCAGAGACTGTCAGAGACTGCTTTGCCACCTAAGAACACGCATTCCTCAGACCGCAGTGATCTGGGCTGGGGTCCCCAGAATCTCACTGCACCTGTGGCTTCATGGCTGAGGGGTGAGGCCTGGGGCTCCTGGGAGTTGTCTGAGGCCACAAGTCTGTCCTGTCCCTGCTCAGGGGCCACTCTGAGAGTCAGCTCCCCAGCAGGAAATAGGAAGTAGAGCGGAGCCCACACCACCTGCTTGGTAACGATTGTCTGAAGCAAGGCGAGGCCCTCACTTGCCCTGGCTTTATTTCACGAACACTGCCCAGCACCAGCAATGTGCCAGGCACTCTGAGTTCTTCCTGCACGTATCTTCACCTTACATGCAGGCCCTGCTTCTCCATTGCACAGGTGAAGACCCCGACAGGTGCAGAAACAGGTGCGGAATCACACATAACCATAACCTGGAAGCTGGGTGTGTCTTCATGCTGTGCGGCATCTCCTCAGTCAGCTTCCTCACCCACTAAGCTCTCTTTCTTCTCCACTAGTAATTTTTTGATTCATTTACTTATTCATTGAACCACAAACCATTTCTTAATTCCTTAATTCCTACTGCTTGGTGGAGAGTTCATAAGAGTGAGTTGTGGGTGGGAGCAGTGATGCAGAAGGTTCTGGGAAGAGATGAAGCCCAAAGAGGACCCCAGGGGAAGTCTGCCTGGAGGTCAGAGGGAGCTGGTACTCAGGGGATAGGGCAACCAGGCAGCGTCCTGGGAGCAGAGGCCAGAGACAGGGCCAGCCAGGCTCTGATCCCCCCAGAAAATTCATTATTAGCTTGTTTTGCTTATAGAGGGACCACAAGAGTATTGAGGGTCTAAGAGGTAGTGATCGGCTCTAAGTGACCAAAGGGGACACACCTGCCAGGGAAGGTCCTGGCCCAGACACAGCTGGTCCCCAGAGACCTTTCTCAGCCCGAGATATCCTTGCGTTGTGGAGTTGTGGCAATTTCAGGACACTCTGAATAAGCCCCAAAAGTCCCTTCTCAACCCTGAAGAAGGTGACCCAGACCACCCGCTGGTCATGGGGGTGAAGGACTGAGTGAGACCAACAGTCTGCAGACCTGGGGCAGCACCTGTCGAGAGTCCACTGAAGGCCTTGGCATGGGTCCCTGGGTGGCTGAACCCTATTTCCATCTTCCCACATCTCTCATGTCTCCTTTACTCACAGAGACATCAGTGAAGGCATCCGAGAGCTGGCCAGCGTGACCCCTGGCATGGACAAAGAACCCTGGACTCCAGGGCCCAGTGCCCTGAGTCCCAGTGCCCCTTCCAGTTCCCCACATGCCCACGTGGTTGTCCACACAGTGAACCCAGAGAAGATCCTGCCTACCTCCGTGCCCTCCACAGGGATGACCACTCAGCCTGTGTCGAACCTGCCAGGGTGACCCTGCCTGCCAGCCACCTGCGACCCACCTGTGTCTACCCTGGAACTGGCCTGTGAAATCAGCCTCTGGGTGTAGGGAGCCCGAGGTGCCCTGCAGGGATCGCTGTACCAGAAGGAGCCGGGCTGCAGGAACTCACAACAGTGACTCACTTGAGCTGGCTGCAAGGTGAAGAGCCCCGGCAGCTCCTTCCTCCAAAGAGGCTGGGAGACTTTTCAGCAGGTCTAGTTTTGCACAGTAGAATAAGAAAACAGCAATAAACTTCCCTTCAGCAACTTCAGCTGCCCCTCAGTATCCCCTCAGGGTGCTCTTTTGAAGCAGGGACCTGCCAGGGCTCTATGTCTGGCAGCTGTGAAGTGCAGGGAGGGAAACAGCAGTTCCTTCTCTTACTGAAAGATATAAAGGTAAAAAAAAAAAAATCACCGCCTTGGCCATCCCTTCCTACACAGCCGCAAACATAGCAGCCCTAAATGCTAATGGTATGTAATCACCTCTCTATGCTGCGGGCTTTTCCGGCATCTTGCTGGGTGGTCCCCACCTCATCTCTTCTGTAGCAGGTGCAGTCTGCTGGTGGCTGCCGTGGTGTCACATTGAAGGCTGGTTCCCTTGAGAGCTGGGGCTGCTGCTGGCAGTCAGCAGAGGCTTCAGGGAGTCTTGGCGGGAACATTTGCCCTTCTGCCCTTGCCCTGGGGCTGCCTCATGTGGCCCAGGCTTCCTTCCAACATGGCACCTGCTTTCTAAAGTGACAGCCTGATATGAGCACCTGGTAAAGGCTCTTTCAGTTTTCAGCTCCCAGCCTTGCAAGTGACTCTGTCACTTCTGTGTCCTACTCATTAGGAGTCCAGGTGGACCCATGATCCAAGGGGTGGGGCTACAGACCCCCTGCTGTGAGGTCCGTAGTGAGGTCCACTGAGGAGGAATACCAAAGAAGTAGCAAGCACCTGTAGTCTCAGCTTCTCAGGAGTTCCAGATGGGATAATCGATGGAGTTCACACATTTGAAACCAGCCAGGGCAACAAGGTAAGAGGTTGTCTCCAAAGAACAAAAAGAATCATAGGGCTGGAGTGTATCTCAGTGGTGTAGCCATTACTATCATTGTAAGGCCCTAGATTCCATAGCTGGTATCTAAACAACAACAAAAACCTAACTAAAACTATTACAATCACCTCTATGCCAGTTCTTTGTCAGTTTTGTAAAAGGGGACCCCAGGTGGGTGTGGAAGTGCAGGCCTGTAATTCCAGCACTCCAAGAGGCTGAGGCAGGAGAATCACAAATTTGAGCCCAGCGTAGGAAATCTAGTAATTTAGACCCTACCTGAAACATAACAAGACAGGGATGGGGATGTAGCTCCGTGCAAAGGTCCTGGGCTCAATTCCTAATGTCACCAAGAAGGGAAGGGGCTGACTCCTACCCTCCCTCCCCCCCGCCTCATTCCCAGAAGGAACTGTTGCCGTGGCAGGGCCCCATGTTTGTCCTGGGTCAATTAAAAATGTACCTGCAACCTCACACAGTTTGGGGTCTGGCCTGTCTCCAGCCTTTGAGAAGAGTTGAGTTTCCCCTGCTTCCTGCCCGGAGGCCCAGCAGCCCCCATGGGGCCCTTAGGAGGAGCAGCTTCCCCTACTCCTCACTGCCTACTGAAGTGACATCTGTTGTGTTTTTACGTCACAGGCAAGTACCAACCAGTAGGCTGCATGGAGTCTAATGGATGGACCATGATTTATGTGACTCATTACCAGCTGAGGGACACTTTGTGTCCCAGCTTCTTGGATGTCACATTTGTAGACACCTTGGTCCCAGTGCCCTCCATTTTGGGATGCTCTTTCCCTTGGCAGATTTCCACGGTAGGCTTGAGAGCAGGGGGTGTGTTTGGTGTTTCTTGTCCTCCTTGGGGGCCCTAGTGAGACACACACACAGGATGCTGAGAGGGACAGTGTAGACGTGGCCCCAGCAGGGAGTATCTGCTCCGCTGCTTGGCAGATCTGGATGCAGGACTCAAAACCACTTAGTTCTTTCTGGAACTGCAGTGGTGCTGGCCAGGGCCCTGCATGTGCAACAAAAGGCTCTGCCTAGAGGACTCCCACCAAGCCCTCTCTCTGCCTCCCCCATCCTTGGAGTGGAAGAGCCAAGATGGCATGGGGGAGGGGGGCAGAGGACCCTACCACATAGGGCAGGCTGGGGCCAAGAGGCCCATTGTGAAGCTTTGGGGCTGCAAGGGCAGACCAGTGTTTGTTCCCTGAACTGCTGGAGCTGGAGTGGAGAGGACTAGAGTGAAAGGCTCTAGCTCCTTAGAGCTGGGCGTTACAGAAAGGGGCGTCCACATGGCCACAGAGGGCCCACAGTGAGCAGAGAGGCAGGAGAAGAAATGACAGAGATGACAGGGCAGAGCTATTATTGTTCAGGAGAGCAGCACGCCAGACCCCCAAGTGTGCACCGTGGCTAGGGTTGCACTGGACCAGAGATAAGCCCTCCCACAGGGTTGCTGGAGCTGTGGGACCCTATTTCAGGGACAAGTTGGGGGGGCGGTTAGCCTCACATCTCCCCAAAACCCTAGATGTCCAGTTCCACTAACACGAGTGGAACAAGAGGACCACTTCCCACGGTGACTTTCTTGCAGGTTCTTGGGTGCAGCTGCTCAGGCTGCTACCCCAGAGGCCTTGGCACACTTCCCTCTGCAGTACCTGGTGGCCCCATGGCTCCTATGTGCACTTCACTCCTCGGCTCCAAAAACCCAGTAACAGTAACATCTGTTGCTATTATCTGTCAGGATCGCTGCGCTTGTACTGCTGAAGCAAGCAGTCCTCCAAATCTCAGGGAGTCAATCACCAAATTTACCTCCTGTGCACCTCGGAGCCCATGGTAGGTGGAGCAGCCTCCGTCCCAATGGAAGTACCTATGGTGGAGGGGCTGGCCCCAGCCACAGCATGCTCAATTCAGACACCCAGAGGCTGCAGTTAGAGTCCCACACAGAGGAGACATCATTATTCAGCAGTATGTCCCCATCCAGGGATAGTGGTTGGGGAAAAAAATTATGTCTTGTGCCTCAATTCAGTCACGGGGTTACCTGCATGTTTCATGTTTCTACTCCCATCCAGCGATCACCCCGAACTCCACAGCATCAGCAGCTGCTTCCACATTACCCTCGTGTACCCTGGTTCTGTCGGTGTACTCTCTGGCCTCAGCCAGGCAGAACTAGCTTGTGCTTCTCAGGTGTGATTGCAGTTGGGGGGCAGGGGGTGGCGGTTGAGTTCACTGTTGCCTGGGACCCGGGCTGGGGCTCCCCACTGGAATGCTGCATGCTCCCTCAGCCTCCATCCAGAGTGGCAGCTGGGTTTCAGGGTCAGGGACACAAGTGGGGCTGGCAGTTCCTTCAGGCTGGGGCCCAGGACTCCAGAGGGTCTGGATGTAACCAGGCTTCTCAAGCTCAGCCTCCACTTGAGTCCCCCCAGAGTCCCTGTCACACAGCTCCAAAGTCTTGCAAGGCTGTCACCATTGTCCATCCCCACAGTGTTTCCATCTGCTGAGACTGAAACCCTGGCCCATCAAACACTAACCCCTCTTCCCCAAACACTAACCCCTCTTCTGGCAGCCATGGGTCTGCTTTCTACTTCTGTGAGTTTGGCTGTGCTCAGGGCCTCACGGGAGTGGAATCCTACAGCATTTGTCCTTTTTTTTGTTGTTGGTCTTTTTGAGACAGGGTCTCACTACATAGTTCAGGCTGGTCTTGAGCTCACTTTGTAGCCCAGGCTGGTCTCGAACTTGCAATGATCCTCCTGCCTCAGCCTCTCAAGAGCTGGGATTACAAGCATGAGCCATTTGTCCTTTTTCGACTGACTTACTTTACTTAGCACAGGACTCCCCAGGGCAGCAGGCCCTGACCTTGTTGGCACTGGACATCAGTTCTGTGGGAGACAGTTTTTTCCATGGACATGGATAGGGGAACAGTCCCATGATTAGAGTCTCTTAAGGGGGAATGGCTATCAATACCATGACACCATGGCCATCAAGATTTCTGGGGCCACTGTGGAGACTTGGCAGCCGTGCCGGTCACCCTCTGCCTCTTCCTTGGCCTGGCCTTCTTCAGTGCACCTATCATGACTCCACACAGCTGTGTGTCTGTGTGCTCATGGAGGAAGCTGTGGGGCTCAGGGCTCCCTCTGCTTCCCTCTGATCTGTCTGTTGGATGGGAGCAAAATAGGAGACCTTTGTTGAGTGAATTATTGAAGGAATGAATGGATACATGGTGACCCCCGACCACAAGAGAATGAGGAAGAAAATGTCATTGTTCCTTGTCAGTGTACGACCCTTGCATCATGCACCTCGTCATGTGGTATGGTCAATTCCAGCCTCCTGTCCCCCCAACACTGCCCCTGGCCCAGGAATAGGCTGTCTTTAGCCTGCGCCTCCCAGGAAGGTCACTCTGTCTTACAAAGTCTGTGCTTTTCTTATGTCCCTGGCCCCAGTCATCACCAGTTACTCATGGGCTTCTGCTCAGTGCCTACTGCATGCTGGCTCTTGTGGAGTAGGTGCTATGGCACAGTGACCAGGCTGTAGTGATTCTCTGAGACTGGGAGCCCCAGGGACGGTGACATGGACCAGGAGGGCACAGACGAGGGGACACTGGGGCAGAGCCTGAGGAAAGGAGGATGTCAGGGAACTGGGAAGAGAATTCTGGGATGAGGGCACCACATGCAAAGAAGTTTGGAAATCCAGAGATACTTCTGGAGGAGTGGAAAGGCTCCGAGCCTGGGGTGACCCGGCCCTGTGGATGCCACAGAGAGACTGGCACGGCGGAGCCAGTAAGGGGTGGCGCTGCCCCTTCAGTTCAGCAGGGAGGAAGGGGAGTTGGATGTGCTTGGGAGAGCCATGGTGGGAAAGGAGCAGGCAAGCAGATTGGGGTAAGGAGGGCACCAAACCCCTGACAATCAGGGAAGTGCAAAGCACCTGCCACGAAGTCGTTTTTCTGTACACCTTACGATTATGGTTACTTTTGATAAGATAAACGTGCCCTGGTTCCAAATTGGGGTGGAGGTATAAGACCAGGACGTATGTAACCTTGACCAAACGTTAGCTGGGCTTCTGCACCTTCTCCAAGGCCCATCTACATCACCTCCCTTATTAAATATCCGGATTGAGCAAAGAGTGTCACCAAGTCAGTTTAGAAGAACCCGCCACCCTCCATATCTGATTCCTCTTGCTATCAGATGGGCTTTCCAGGTGACACCTGGTGGCCCCCACCCGCTCTCATCAAGAATCCTGTTAGTCCAATGTGTCAACACGTTTTCTGTTGCTCTAGCAGAATACTAGGTTTTTTTTTTTTTTTTTTTTTTAACTAGGTGTTTTATAACCTGGAAACAACCTTTCGTAAAGGGGGAGCAGAGAAGGAGTTGAAGGGAGGGCAGAAGAATGGGGGTAAAAAACAAATCGGTCATGTACAAGTACAAATTCCCTATGATGAAGGTGATCACTATGTATATCTAAAATGTACCAATAAAATCTGATTTTTTAAAAAGAGAACAAAGGTATATTCAGCTCATGAATTTGGAACTGGGCTCTAGCATCTCAACATCCGAAGGGTATTCCTGCCAGATTAGGGCCTGGAAGAGGCCATCCCAAAGTGAGAGGCAGAAGGCTCATTTTATACAAAGCCATTCCCTCGATAACCCATTAATCCTCTAATCCAGAACAGATGAATCCTAATTACCTCTTAACCATCTCACCTGGCCACACCTAAAAATACCTCACCATGAAGATTAAACTTCAACATTAAATTTTTGTAGGGCCATTGAAACCCTGGCGGTTGATTTAGACAGATCCCCTTATTCTTGGTGTTTCCTCTTAGTAACATTCATTCCCCACCCCCCACCCCCCACCCCCGGTCCCCACTCACGATGAACCGTGGCAGCACAGGAAAGAACTGAGGCACAGGGCAGGAGGACCCAGAAGGGAACCCCATACCTAGCTGGCAACAAAGTCTCCATGCTAATGAGGATACTGCAGGCACAGATAAACCAAGCACCTCACCAACAGTACGGGCTGCGGGCACCCGCCCTCCCCAACCCCATGTGTCCATTTCTTAGCTGACCCCAGGCCTTCCTGTGGGTCTGGGCACTTCCTGTGCTGGGCACCAGAGCTACAAAGGCCTTGGGAAGTCGGAGAGAGGTGAGAGACTTTTCTGAGGTCACCCACTGCATAGTCCGGGAAAGTGAGGCGAAAGCAGCTTAACCGACTTCTCTAGTTAGGGACACAATACCCGGCCAGGGTCCCCTTGTGCAGACGAGGGACCCGACCGGGGCTGCACAGCCTAGGTCACACTACTGAGTCCCTACCCGCCCCTGGATTAGTGAAGCGTCTTCGTCCAGGCGGGCTCCATCCACCTGGGCTATAGCCTGGTGGGGGGTACCAGATGCCCACGGGCTTTCTGCCCCAGACATGACCTCCAGGACGACCTTGGGTATGTCACTGTCGCCATCCCGGAGCCAGAGCGCTGGGGCCCAGGGCGGAGCTGCGCGGCTGATTTAGCGCGCCGGATGCGTGTGAACCTCAGGGATTCCCCGCGGGGAGGGGCTGGGGGCGGGGCCGAGGAGACAGGCTGCGTCCCCGAGATACGCTCCTGCTATTGGGTAGGCTGTTCCGGGGGGTGGGGCTCGAGTGAGAGGCGGGGCGCGGCTCAGCGAGGGGCGGGGCGCAGGGCCGGGAGCGCCAAGGAGGCGGATTTCGATTGGTGGGCGTGATTTCAGCAAGCCGTCCATGTCGGGGGCGGGACTAGCGGAAAGGGGCGGGGATCCGTGAGGGGCGGGAGTTAAAGCCCGCGACGTTGCCGTGGCGGCCGGGCGGGGCCTAGCGGGAAGGGGCATGGCTTAGGGCCGTCCCGCGGGCGGAGGTCACCGGAGCCGGTGGGCTGGCCGGAGGACGGAGGGGCGGACGGCGGCGAAGGCGGGGCGGCGCCGTGTCCGCCGCCATGACAGGTGGGCGCGGGCCCAGGCCGGTGGCGGGAGCCGATTGACCTTGGTCGTGGCGGGCGGCGCGGCGCGGCGCGGGGTGGCGGGAGCTCGGGGCCGAGCTGGGGGCGGAGGCCGCAGGTGAGCTCGGGCGCAGGTGCACCGCGCGACGCCGGGCCCCGCAGCTGTGGGTCGTGCTGCGGCCAGGATGGGCTGAGGTCTGAGGGAGGAAGTAGCGCTGGCGCAGAGATGCTGTGCACGCCCGGCAGGCGCAGGCTGGGACTCCAGCGCCTCATTCCCTCGGGGGTCGATGGGGCCCCAGTCGCGCGCATCCCTGTCTCCGACGGGCCCAGAGCAGTCGCCCAGAGCAGTGGGAGCAGGGACTGGACTCCCCACATCCCGAGGCCGTTGCGCTCCATCACCAACCACCCCTGTCAACCTCCGAGGGCTGGGTCCTGCCCCTCCTCTTCCTGATGCCATCTAAGCAGGGCAGCCCTGCTCCGTGGGCTTTGCACTTTGAAGGGGGGCCTTTGGGGATATTGGGCCACACCTCCTTCCTGAGGGTCTTTCTCTGCCTTTGGTGACATAAGTCACTTGGAGTGACCCAGGGGAGCAGGGTGGTCCCAGGAGTCTCCATCCTCTCTCCTCTGCACTCACTGGAGTTTAGAGCACAAATAGGGTCTTACAGAACGGAACCTGGTACTATCCTGCCAGAAGAGACCTCAGCTGCCACCTGTTCCCCTTGTATCATTCCTGCAGACACCCATGGCTGCTATTTCCTGCTGTGCACCAGCCCTGCCTTGGGCCCTTCTGGTTCCACACCTCTGTGGATGGATGCGGAGCCAGACTCTCAGAAGGGACCCGTGCCCCGGGGCCACGGTGCTGCCCCGGGGCAGAGGCAGAATGAGATCTGGCCCAGGCAAATGGTTCCTCTGCCTAGATCCCACTTCCTTAGAGAGATCCCCAGGATGTGTTCAGAGCTGTGTTGGCCTCCAAGGGGCTGTCTTAGGGCCGGGCATTTGCCAAGTCTGAGGCGGCCCACTGCAGCAGAGCAGGTAGTCCCAGACTTCTTGTCTAAGGAGACCCTCCAGCTTGGAGGCCGCAGCCAGGCAGGCCTCTCTAGGCTGGGGAAACAGGACACGCTTTTTGTTTGTTGCCTACTCCAGACACTTTCCACAGGCTTTCTTTTGGGGATGGGAAATGGAGGACCAGGACTGTGGTGGGGGGAATGGGCTGCAGAACTGTGGTCCTGGGCTCACTGCCCCTCTTTGTGGTGGGCGACTGCCTCCACCAGTTTTCCCTGCCAGCCAGCGTGCGTGCAAATCAATGCCTACAAACACTCTGGACAGGGTCTGCCCAGGAGGCTCAGATGAGGGTGCCAAGAGTGGAATCCATGCTGCTGGTGCCAGCTGGGAGGCAGCAGGAGTGTGGACGTGGTGAAGGCTCATGGGTTTTGTTGAGAGCACTCCATCCTTTATCCTGTGGGAACAGTTCTGGGCCTTGTTTACCGAGTACAAGGCGGAGTCCTTGCTTGCATCTTTTTGTGCTTCCCAGTGGCTGCCTGTGTGTGGTTGGCACGCACAGCTCACTAGAACTGCAGGAAGGCACAGCCCTGGGGCCACACAGCCAGCCTCAGCCCCTGGGCTATGCCGCCTGTGCCAGGTGACTCAGGCCTGCCATGACTCATGGCTTGTGGGCAGTGGAGGCCCAGCTGGCTTAGCGGCTCACTGAGGGAAAGGAAGCCACTGCAGAGCAGAGTACCAGGCACTGTTCACAAACAGACCTTGCCCTTGGGCTTTGGACCAGCATCCGTTCATTCCAGAGCTTATTCCTGTGTGCCTACTGTGAGCTCAGACCTGGCCACACACACGGTGCACCCTGGGGAGACAGCGCTAGACAGGCAGCTGCGGGATTGCTCCTGTCTGGCAGGGAGCAGACCCATGCACCCGATCACACAGTTGACTTATGTGCTAATAAGAGAGTCAGACAGCCTGGATGTCAAGAGCTGACCCCAGCACAGCTTTGCCTACGTTCTGACCTTGAATCTGCCACTTCTGGTTGGCTGCAGTCTTGAACAAGTACTTTTTATCTTCTTGCTGTGCCTCAGTTTCCATATCTGAAAGTGGGGGGTGGTAGTTGTGCTCACCAGCAGAGCTGGTGGAAGGATATTGGTTATAGGTAGACATAGAGTCTGCAGAATGCCTGGCACACGGGAGTGCTCCCTGGATTCCGCTGGGATTCCTCTTAGCTCCTTGGCGAGAGCCACTGCAAACCAGCCTGCCCACCATTCTTGGCCATGTGGACCTGGGAGATCTGAAAGGACAAAAGCCTGTTAGATCCGTGCCCCAGGGATGAAGCCAGAGGAGAGGCCACTTCTTTCAACATGATAATCCTATTTTGTAAAAGATCTGCCTTATATAAGTGTGATCTACTCCCGAACAAACGCGCTTGTTGTTAGTGAACAGTTTGGTAAATGCTGACAAATTTGTGTACCTGCTAGGCTGTCAGCCTAGGGGGAATTGAGACATAACATTCTGCCACTCAGAAAGGTCCTTTGTCACCCTACTCAGGCAATTACCCCAACTTTCTGTGACCTTTAGTTTTTTTTAAATCAACAATGTGGAATTTTCCAAATAGATTTTCTTCTTAATTAACACACATTTTATTATTTATGTAACTCTTCTTTTGCTATTTTTAGTTTTTCATACTTTGAGACAAGGTCTCACTCTATCCCACACTGGCCTTGAGCTCAAAATCCTCCTGCCTCGGCATCCTGAGTGCTGGGCTTACAGGTGTGCACCACCACTCCTGGCTTTCTCACCTCTTTATTGCTGAAGCAGTCGTATTGTGTTGCCAGGTTGGCCTTGAACTCCCAGGCTCAAAGCAAACCTCTTACCTCAGCCTTCAAAGAAACTGGCAGTACAGGCACATGCCACTGTGCCCAGCTCCAGGACTCTGCTTTTGGAGCAGTTTTATTTGTAGAAAATGGAGCAGGGGGTGTAGCTCAGCGGCACAGCACCTGCCTGGCAAGCATCAGGTCGTGAGTTCAATTCCTGGTACCAAAAAAAAAAAAAAAAAAAAAAAAAAAGGTCCAGAGGGCCCCTTCCATTTTCCCTAGTTTTTTAATGACTTGTATTAGTGCATCACTATTAACTGAAGTTCCGAGTTGACACTGGGGCTCACTTCCGAATCATAGATTCTGTAGGTTCTGACAAATGCGAAATGTCCTTTATTCACCTAGTGAGGCTTTACTGTCAAAATTCCCTGATGTCCACTCACTCATTCCCTCCTCCTCCTGGCCTGGAAATCGCTAGTTTTATGTTTTCATGAGGCCGCCTTCTCTGTAATGTCAGATGATTAGAATCATAGAGTTTGTATGATTGACTCCTTCCACTTAAAAGCATGTGTTTAGGCTCCTCCAGTCTTTTCATCACTCAGTAACTCATTTCTCTTTAGTGCTGATTCATTGTATCGATGAGCCATAGTTTGCCCGGCTATTCATCCTCATTGTGGTAAAATATGCAGAATATAATGTTTACTTTTGTAGTCACTGTGGTGGCACTAAGCACATTTACAGTGCCAGGCAGCTATCACCGCTACTCATTCCTACAACTTTGTCATCAACCCTGACAGAAACTTACACCTTTAAACAGCGACTCTCAGGCTGGGGATTGAGCTCGGAGGCCCAAGCGTTGCCTGGTGAGTGTGAGGTCATGCTTTTGGTCCCTGGTAACAAAAAGAAAAAAAAAGGGTAAAAAAAGATGTCTTTAAAGTTGATGGTCTGTTTTAAACAGGAACGCTCCTCTGCTCCCAGGTCCTGGTAACCTCTATTTTACTCACCATCTCTATGAATTAGACTATGGGTATGGCTGAATAAATGGGATCACGTGTTCCCCTTTTGTGTCTGATTTATTACACTTAGCATGCGCTTGCTTTTTTGAGACAGGGTTTCACTGTGCAGTTCAAGCTGACCTTGATCTTACTTTGTAGCCCAAGCTGGTCTTGAACTCATGGCAATCCTCCTGCCTCGGTTTCCCGAGTGCTGGAATAAGAGGCATGCGCCACCACGCCTGAGCTGCATGTGCTTTCAAAGCTATCCTCGTGTCAGAATGTCACCCCTTTCTGTAATTGAGCAGCATCCCGTTGTGCATCCGTGTATGCTGCATTGTGAGAGCCTCTTACCTGTAGAGTGAGCTAATTCCATCCTGCAGTTGTTTAGAAAGATGTTGCTAGGGACAGTGGCACACTGGTGTCTGAGCATCTGCTGTCAGCTGGCCCTGCCCACAGGCAGAAGTGCTGGATCATGTGATAAAAGCCTGTGTTTACAGTTTTGAGGATTCCCATTCCCTTTTCCACAGTGCACAAGAGGTGCAGCGTTATGCATTTCCACCAGCAGTGCACAAGAGGTGGAGTGTTTTCACTGTCCCTCCAGCACTTGTAGTTTTAAAATGTGGCTGTCCTAGAGAATAGGAAGCAGTGTCTCCTCCTGGTTTTGGTATGCACTTCCGTAAAAGACTAGAAGTTATTTTATGTGCTTATTGCTTTTGTGTGTGTGTGTGTGTGGTACTGGACATTGAACCCAGGGCCTCACATGTGCTAGGCAAGCCCTGTATGCTGAGCTGTGTCCCCAGCCTTTATTTTTATTTCATACTGGGAATCAAACTCACAACCTTGGGCTTGCCAGTCAGGTGCTGTACCGCTGGGCTATCTCCCAGGCCCTTTTATTTTTATTTTGAGGCGGGTCTTAATAAGTTGTCTAGACTGGGCTTAGACTTGTAACTTCCTGCCTCAGCCTCTGTTTATAACTGTTATAATCGCTGTGTATTCTTAGTGAATTAACCCTTTTATTAACATATAATGTATTTTTGTACAATGGAGTTCTACTCAGCCATAAAGAAGGATAACTGGAGACTTTTATAGGAAATGGATGTAACTTGAGAACATAAATAAGGCACGTGTAAACACTGTTAGTGTAAGAAGCTGAAAGAAGAAATGTATATATGTATATATATGTATATGTATAGGTATAGGTATAGAAAAATAGTTAGGATAGTTAGTTGCACTACTGATTTCTCTGAGTTTGCTAAAGAGAAATATTTGTTCTGGTATTGTTTAGACAATTGAATGCAGATGTCCTGCACTCTGGGTGAATGATTTGGGGGTGACAATGCGCAGTGTGTGTACCATTGCTGCTCCTGATTGATATGTTTTGAAATTTTTTTGTAGTTTTTTTTTCTGATTCTTCTTTCTTTCCTTTCTTTTAATTCTTGAAATAAAATGGATTTTAAAAAAACCTTTAAAAATCATATAATGTAAATTTTTTTTTTTGTCTTTTTCCTTTTTATCGGTACCAGGGATTGAACTCACGACTGCCTGCTTGCAAGGCAGGCACTTACGCCGCTGAGCTAAATCTCCAGCCCCTAATGTAATTTTTTTCTTGTAACACCTTTCCAATTAAAGTCTGTTTTGTGTGATATTAGTATCACCTGCTCTTGATTTTTACTTACATGGAATATCTTTTTGCACCCCTTCACTTTTTTTTTATTTTAAAGAGATTAAGACAAAAAAGGATATAACAAAGCAGATCAGAACAGAACAACGTAAGCAACACAGTATTTCACCAAAAGACAACCCATAATTAACTGTAACTACCATAATATCTCTTTGAAATAGTTGAGCATAACTTCATATACAATAGTATCAAACATAACAAAATAGTTCAAGAGAATGAGAGTATCACAGGGCATTCAGAACCAAATAACAGAAAATGAATAATGGCTACTATATTATCTCATTTTCCATAGAAAATTTGTTTATACTATCACACATAATACAATTGAATAAGATACAACATGACAGAACCACAGGAAACAGAAGAGCAAAAGCATGGAAGAACTTCAGAGTAAGATGATATTAGATCAACATTGGCTATTATGATGACTTGTTTTCTTCAAAATAGCTGTTCATACCATCACACATAATAAAATCAAACCAGAATAAAACCATTCCATCTAATGAATGAAAACTTTAGAAGGCTTCAAAGCAATGTAATGGGGAATCATGATTACCATAAACTCTTATGTACTCTTACTATTTCTTATACTAGGGACACCCCTTCATTTTTAACCTAATTATGTCTTAAGATGTAAAATGAGTCTCTTACAGACAGCATTTTTTGTATGTCTTGTGGTTTTTTTGACCCTAATTTCTTCCATTAATGCCTTCTTTGGCGTTGAATTGATTTTTTTGTAGTAATGGATTTTCATTCTCTTCTCATTTCTTGTTCATTTTTGTTTATATTCTATAGATATTTTCTTTGTAATTAATATGGAGATTGCATGCAGTGTCTTAGGGTTCTAATGATCCACTTTGAGCTGACACTGAACTCCCCCTCAGGCACGTATGTAAAATATACTCCTCCAGGGCCCATGTCCGTTCCCCGACCTGTGCATGTTTGGGGTGACAGGACAGTGGCTGGAGATGTCTGCCTACCTCCTCGCTGGACCTGCCTGTCTGGAGCGCTGATAGGGGACGATGGTGCAGCTGGGTGCTGTAGCCGTGACTGCGAGATGTGATAAGAACGCTGTCTTGTCCCTTGGCAGTGGCACACTGAGCCCTGTGTCCTGCCTCTGCGTGGTTGGGGGAGCTGCAGAGCCCATATCCTGGCCTTCTCAGAGCTGCCTCACCAGTTTACAGATGGCCCTGGGCAGTCCGCTAGAGGGCGGATGCTTCACCCCTGGAAGTCCACTTTCCTTGATCAGCTCTTGGGCGCAGGAGATGGGCAGCAAGGGCAGCCTCTCTGGACTCCTGCTGCACCTCCTGCTCACTTGCATCTTCTGCCCAGGTGGGTTGTCAGGCGGGGGCAGCCCGAGGCGGACACAGTCCTGCAGGTGCTTTCCAGAGATTGTCTCCCTGCCGCAGGCGCAGGGCCTCCGAGGTCGGTACCACGGCTGCTGGCTTTGGTCCCCCCAGGCCTGCGCTGGCTCACACCCTGCACTTCCCTGTGTGTTCCAGATCAGACCTACTGCGACCGCCTGGTACAGGACACGCCGTTCCTGACAGGCCAGGGGTGCCTGAGTGAGCAGCAGGTGGACAGAATCGTCCTTCAGCTGAACCGCTACTACCCACAGGTCCTCACCAACAAGGAGGCCGAAAAGGTGCTGAGGAGGTGAGGGTGGGGGTCCCCACACGCCTCCCAGGGTCCCTTCCTTGCTGACTGGGAGGAGCTGACTGCTCACCCTGGCTGGTCTCAGGGGATGGCACACCTGGTGTTTCAGGGTGGCTCGCAGGTGACACACCTGGGCTGGGCTCTCAGGTCACCTGATCTTAAAGCTGTCTCTTTGGAGTAGCCCGAAATGAGCCCAGAAGATCTGTCCCTCAGTTTCTTTATATGTCATCATGCTTGCTGGCCCCTGTCAGAGTTGGTGGGAAGGTTCTAGGAGGTGACCCAGGGAATGTGACAACATGTGACATCATACAGTAGCACATGGAAGCACAGGAACAAGAGCAGATGGGGAGGACGGAAGAGGGAGGGTCGGCAGTCCAGGCCTGGCGCCATCCTGGTGCCACACAGCAGCTCTTCCCTCTGCATCTCTGAGCTGTCAGAATGCTTCTTTTTTTTCTCCTCACTTCCTCCATGCCCAGAAGTAGGAAGGCAAGGTGGGCAGCAGCCTCAGGCAGGCAGGCCCTGCATGCTGAGGTAGGGTGGTCTTGCTGGGAACCATAGTGGCCCCATCTGTGGAATGGGCACAAAAGCAAGGTAACAGCTGCCCACTGCCTTCCCCCCCCCAAATTGTCTCTGATCCACACCACAGCGAGTAGGCATGGTTGTCACCTTGCCTTATGGCACATGCTACTACTGAGGCCCGAGAGGCTGTCCTGTGGCCAGGGTCACCTGTCTCCAGAGGCTAGGCCACACCCTGACCTCTCAGAGCATGGCTGCATGGGCAGGCCCTCTTGCAAATGGCATTCTGGATGCACCGTCTGGCTCTGTCCCAGGTCTCATCCTGCCCAACCTCCCAGGCCTGGAGGACCCTGAGGTGGCCTTGGTCTCAGGACTCTGGGTGGAAGAGTTGGGTGCACCCTCTCCCAAGCACTAGCCCAAGCCTCTTGCTCCAGGCGATGTCACCAGGACTAAGCAGGCTGAGGCTGGTGGCCCAGGCGCCCCAGGCCTTGCCCCTGGCCTCCTTGCTGAGTGGGTCCCTTCCTCACGAGACGAGTTGGTAAGGACAGAACAGGAGTCAGCACGGGTCCTCTGCTGCTCAGGTGCTGCTGCATCGTGAAAGTCACAGTGGGCCAGGACGAGGGATTTTAGCTCAGTTGCATGAGCACCTGCCTGGCAAGCACAAGGTCGTGAGTTAGATCTCAGGTACCAAAAAAACCAACCAACCAACCAAACAAACAAACAAAAACAAACCCCAAAAGCAAACACTGATGGGCTCAGCCAGACTTGGTGTCAATACTTGTGTCCTAGCTACTCAGGAGGCTGAGGCAGGAGGTAGGAGTTTGAGACCAGCCTGGGCAACACAGTGAGACCCCATCTCCACAGATACAGAAGCAATTTGGACTTAAATCAGTGTTAGTGCGATTTCAAGTCTGCTAGGTGATCCTTTGGACATTTGAAAACATGTAAGATGTTTACACAGGAAAAAGGCTCCCGCAGTGCGTCGGTGTCCGTTGCGGTTTCCGCAGTCACGCATGCTGCCACCAGGGGGCAGCACCACGCCACGGCCTCCCTGCTGGTTCATCAAGTGCTTTAGAAGAACCTGCGCTTCCCCTACTGATTCTTGAATATCTGACTCTCTTTCCTGTGAACTGCACAGTGATAGAAGTTGTCACCTATGCCCTCACCTCATTAATTCCCTATGAGGCTGCCGTGTAGCTTTATTATTTTCCCTTCTAACAGATGAATAAAAAGGTCTCTGGGGGTTGAGGTGCCGCCCCGCGGTCCCAGGAAGCTGCAGCGAGGCCCAGGACGCCGTCGCCTGTCCCATGCTTTCTCCTTGCCACGCCACGGGCACTGCGGAGGGACAGTGACACCACGGCCGCAGCCGTGGGCGGGGAGCTGGGGCTGCAGGCTCTGCTGTCCGGAGCCGCCCCCCAGCCTGCTCTCCCTTCCTTCCCCCTTCTGGCGTCCCCAGTTCCGGAACCCCAAGGCGTCGCTGCGTGTGAGGCTCTGCGACCTCCTGAGCCACCTGCAGCGGAGCGGCGAGCGGCACTGCCAGGAGTTCTACCGCGCCCTGTACATCCACGCGCAGCCCCTGCACTGCCACTTGCCCAGCCGCCGCGCCCTGCGTAAGTCCATCCCCAGCCCCGGTGCTCATGCTGGACTGCTGACCGCTAGCCAGGGTGTCCTCTGTCCCCAGGCCGGCCTGGGTGTCTCCTGTCCCTTGGCCCTCCCCTGGGACATCCCATGGCCCCAAAGGAGCGCATGCGGGCGTACAAATCTCACCCGGTGTCCCTGCCCTGCCGTCTATCTCTCCTTTCTGTCCTTCATTCTTATGCTCCTTTTCACCCTCATCACTGAGGGGACTTCATTTCCGTGCTGGTGCCCCCACTACATGGTGAGACCCACAATTATTACTGTCCCAGCCCACAATTATTCCAGCTCACAGTGGACCCGGGGTGGTGCCCCCTTCTGCCCCCCAGCCACCCTTGTGTGCCCAACTTTGTATAGCGTGCCCTTGGACATGGATGGCTGGTCATCTTGTGTGTCCTAGTTAGAGGGGCACGTCCCAGGCAGTGCTCCTGGGCCTTCTGGTTGGGGTCTTCTGAGCTTCTGCAGCGGAGAGGGCACTGGCGGTGGCCAGGTTCTGAGGCCTCTGTGCATGGGGCCCTGGGAAGGGAGGCTGCTGTGTCTGGCTACAGGGATGAACCCAGGCCACTCAGCCTGGACTCGAGCCCACAGAAGCCACCACAGGCTTCACAGGATGCAGTGTGGACACCCAGGGGCAGGTGGATAGGCCCTGGCCAGTCTTCCAGAACACTGATGGTGGAGCCTCTTCCATGGCTCCTTGGTGTCCCCAGGGCCTGTCCAGAGGGTTGGGTGAGTAGGGAGGTCTGGGGAGAAGCTCGCAGCCCAGCTGCACCTTGTAAGAGCCACCAAGATGATGAGACTGGCTTTCAACAATGATACTCATGCCACGCTTGGGGTCTTGATGTCACAGGAGCCTGACTAAGAGAAAAGACCCCAAACCACAGGCTTCCCCACGGGTCCTCACCTCCCCAGGCCTGGCCCAGCCATCCCAGGCCATGAGGTGGCCATGCAAGGATGTGTGAGGCCCAGCAGGCTTGGGAGGTAGAAATGGCCTTGGGGGCCACCACCTTGCTCTCTGGCCCAGCCCATGACTAACCTCGCTCTGTGATTCTGTTCCAGAGAACTCAGATTGCACAGAGCTTGACTGGGGCAGCGAGAGCCGCAGGCTGAGTGACAGGGGTAACAGGGGCCGCGCCCCTCCGCCTCCCCCTCCCTCCCTCTCCTTCTCTCTCTTCCCCCCAGGGCTCTGTCTGTGCCCCAGGGGCCCTCCGTCCTGTCGGGATCCATTCCTGGCTTTCTGTTGGTGACAGGCCCTCCTGCCTGCTGGCCTGGCCCTCATTCTGGTGCTCATTCCCCCCCAGGACCCATGAGCTTCCTGGCGGGCCTTGGCCTGGCCGCCGGCCTCGCCCTGCTGCTCTACTGCTGCCCTCCAGGTGGGTGCCCAGCCCTGCGTGCAGCGGGGCACCTTGGGCCCCTACCTCCGTGTCCCACTGTGTAGCAGCAGAGAGACAGGAGTAGAGTGCATGCAGCCTGCAGCCTCGGTGGCCTCTGTTACCGTTATTCTCTGGAGAGGAGTGGGCTCCGGGGCTTAGGGAGCCTCGCCACGCCTGTCACCTGGAGCTCCAGGGATCAGGTCTCCCACCCTGGAGCCTGAGGTCTTTCCTGCCATGGGGTCGCAGGCCCCATGTGAAGGGGGCCACTGAGGCACACGGCTTGCAGCCCTCCTTCCCCGTGATGCCCGAGTGTGTTGCCCCTGGAAGGTTCCTGGTGTGGGGCAGGGTGCGCTTCCAGGGCCCTGTGCCCCTAAAGTCTGCACACAGGGTCTAAGTGGGAGGAAGTGGCGGTGCTCCCACCCCTCAAGCCCCAGGGAGTGCGGGAGACAGTTTACTTGCTCCATCCCTTCTCCCCTCTTCCAGACCCCAAGGTGCTGCCCGGGACCCGGCGCGTCCTGGGCTTCTCACCGGTCATCATTGATAGGCACGTCAGCCGCTACCTCCTGGCCTTCCTGGCAGACGACTTTCGGGGGTTGTGATGGAGCCAGACACCAGGCCACTCCCACTGCACAACCAAAGAGTCCCCTGCTCCCTGCTGTCCGATGCCCGCTGCCCGCTCCCTGCTGTGGGGCTGACACCTCTTTTTCTAAATGTTTCCTTTTCATTATTTATAATTTCTCTGTGGAGCTCACCACCTTCGCCCTACAAGGTGCTTGATGATAATAAACAGAGTCTTCTCTGTCTGACTTGCTGCCTGGTGATAGGAGGGTGACTGCAGCTGCCCCAGCTGGGGCAGGCCCCCCAGTGTCCCTGGCCTCTCTGGGGCCAGCCCTCCCCTGCCCACGCAGGTGTCCTCTGCCCATTCTCCTCCCCCACAGGTGTTCCTCCTACACTGTCTCCTGTGCCGTGTACCCCTCACCCTTCAGATGGCCCCTGAGCCTTCCTTCTGCCCTCGGTGGTCCCTGTCACTTGGTCTCCCTCTAGCCCCATTGGCCAAGGCAAGGGTGGACTCCTGTCGCCAGCCCAGCACCTCTGTGAGGCCCTGGCCTGGGCACCCCCAACTGGAGGCATTGGAGGGTGCTGTAGGAGGGGGCATCAGCTGCCCCAGTGTTCACATGTGTTAACTTCAGTTCTCACAGTCCCAGAAGGTTAGGACCTGCGCCTCGCTTTTCTGAGGGGACACTGAGCCCAGGGGAGGGCGTCTCCCTCGTTCCTATTCCCTGCTTGTGATCGCCTGAGCCCCTTCCCACGTATCACCATATCACCGTCTAGTCCCTCAGGCCCTCACAGCCGGGGCCCTGCCCTGTGCTGGGAATAGAACCCCAGGGGACCTGGGCCTGGAGGGGGGCAGATGAATCAGCCTGCCAAAGCCTGGCCTTGGGGTCTGGGGACCAGGAACACAGCCACAGTCACAGCCTGAGGCTGGAGACAAACACACGTTCTGCACGACCCACCAGGGGTGGGGCTGGCCAGCTGAGCAGGGATAGGGGCTCTGAGAACAGGGCGGTTCGTGGTGCCACACAGAGGTAGAGGTGAGAAATATCCCTGACCAAGCCTCTGAGTCCTTGGTGCTGGCCACACTGGGCTGGAGGTGATGGCCCAGCTTGCTGCAGGGCCTGTCCTGGAAAGGTCACTTGTGGCACACAGACCAAGCAAATAGAGCTGAGGCCATGGGGTCCCTGGCCCCCTGCCTTGCACAGGCTGGGCAGCTCCTCTGAGTATGTACCTCGAGTGTCGCCCCTGCCCTGCTGGGACTCCAGTCACTACTCCTGGTCCACAGACAGGACCCTGAGGGTGCAGAGCAGTGTCACGTGCCCTCTGCCTGCACTGCCTCCCCTCACCACATGCACACATGCAGCACACTCGTGCACACATGCGTGCATGCATGTGCACAAGGATCCATCTCCTGCCTGCCCCCGCCCGCTAGTTCCTCCAGCATCATCACCAGCAGAGTCACAGTGGGCTTGTACTTTCCAGGGGCACTAGTGGCTGGTGTGGCTGGGCCAGGTCCCTCGAGCACTGCACACAGGCTGCGGCTCACAGTGGCTCAGAACATCAGGTGGGGCCGTGTCACCGCACGGCCGGCTCTCTGTGTGTTAGGGCCAAAAGCAGCTGCACTCAGGGCTCCCACCAGGTGTCCAACGAGGGAGGCCCCGGTTACCTTCTCACTCCCCCTTCTCAGACCACAAGATCAGGAAATGTGCTGCCAAGTCTCAGGCCTCTGTCTGTGCCTGCGTAACATGGGACCCTACTCTGGATACACCATGGGCACTGCTCAAGGCCCTCAGCCACCCTTTGCTGGAAGGGTCCTGGCACCACAGTCAAGGCAGTGCACACCTAGGAGGTGACAGAAGATACAGGCACGACTTACTCTGGAAAAGGCACAGAACCTGGAGGGACCTTAGGATCCCTTTCTAGCCTGCATCACAGTACCCACCTGTAATCCCGGCATGGTGAGAGGCCGTGGCGAAGAGTCACACGTTCCAACCCAGCCTGGGCAACTTAGTGACTTGGTGAGACTATTTTGAAAGAAAGAAGAAGGAGAGGCTGGGGATTTAGCTCAGCGGCATAAGCACCTGCCTTGCAAGCACGTGGTCATGAGTTCGATCCCCAGTACAGATTAAAAAAAAAAAAAAGAAGAAAAAAGAGGGGAGGGAGAGAGGAAGAAGGAAGGAAAAGGAAAGGACAGAAGGCAGGCGAGCAGATGGGGTGGCTCAGTGCGAAGCCCGGGGCCAGCCCCAGTGCTGCAGATAGAGGACAGAGATACAGAAGACAGACAGGTGATACAAAGGTACAAGACGGTGACAGATGCAGGTAGATGACAGATGACACAGATAGATGATGATGTAGATGACAGATGATAAGGTGATAGATGGATGGATAGATGGATGGATAGATGCATCTGGTTTCTGTCATCTGAAGACTGGAAACATTGGTTCAGGTGAGACCACAGGCCCGTGCCAAGGGAGGCCTGGGGCTGCCCCGCCTCCTCAGAGCTGCTGCAGGACCTGTGGGACCTGATTCCTTAGGGTACCATCCTGAGAGGGCACACACAGGACTACCTGTCCCTGGCCTTGGGCCCAGCTGGCCTCAGTGTTGCCGACTTCCTCCTTCCATCTGTGACAAGGCACTAGGGCATTGCGCCGAGCCCACGGGCTGCCCTTGGACACCCTTCTGGCTTCCTGCCTCCCGCCTGGCTGGACTCCAGCATCCCTGACCACCATCAGGCCCCTCCCCCTCCTGGCTGTCCCCCACTAGTGCCCCTCCTACGAGGGCCTATGGAGGGGAGAACGCTGGGGACTCCCCATCTAGACCTTGGTGCCCCCTCATGCCCATCCCTGGCACCACCTGGCCAAGTGGTGCCCCCAACCCAAAGTACACCAAGGGCACAGGGGAGTGGTGGCACAGCAGGCCCCTTCCTCCCTGGTGCCCCTCCATGCCAGCACTTGACCCTCACCAGCGACCTGTGCCTCAGGGCACGTGTCATGTGCTGTGACACCATTGCTGTGGGGCTCCCTCTGCCTGGGTCTCTCGGGCTTGCTGTTGAAATCCTCCAGGTCCTGGGTAGAAATGCCACCTGTACAGGGTACTCTCTATACACACAAGTGAGGGGCGCAGCTGCTCCAGGGACAGTTTCCAGTGCGAGGAGCCAAGCTGAGGGAGGGCGCCACATGCCAGAGGCTTGGGGTGCAGGAAAGGAGGAGAGGGCTGAGGCAAAGCGCTGGGCATTCTGGTCACGGGGCCGTGAGGACACATCCACATCTTGCACAACACGGGGCTGGTGAACGCTGAGCATGCAGACCCTGGGTTGCTTTTGGAAGTGCGCTGACACGGCTTTATATGTGGTAACATTTCCCAGGTCCCACTGGGTCAGCACCCTGCTTGCAGATGGCTTCTAGGAGCCCTGCCAGTGTCCCCCAGCCAGCCACAGGTCATGGCTCCCTTGGTTGGATGAGGATCTGGGAGGGGTTTGGCTCGCTCTGCTCCCTACTGCCCTGGGCACCTGAAGGGCACTTGGGAGATGTCAAGATGGACAGGACGCCCCTCTGAGCCTGGGGTCACGTCACTGCTAGGCCCCATCATGGCTCAGAAGCTCTGTTCCCAGTCTTTGAAGGTGGGCGGGAACCCTTAGAAGGTGCTGCTCAAATGGCCACGGGGTCCCAAATCGTCATCTGACCCCGAGCTGGGTGCCTGGGCTCATCTTGCAGTGGATGGAGGGCCCTGAGGGAGGGACCAGGCCATGTCGCACAGGTTCTCACACCCCATCTTCTGGTGGACCCCACTGCATCCATGTGGGAGAAGGGACACCGTGGCTTAAAATCAGCCTGGCGACATCCCCCAGAAGATGACTTTTGGGGTGGCTTCCGGGGGACAGACCCAGGTCAACAGCCACTGGAGTTAACATTCCCCCAAAATAAATATCCAAGAGCAAAAGAAGAAAACATGAAGACATCTGGCTGCCTGACTTTCAGCTGTAAGAAGTGTGATAAAAAATATAGTGAGTGTTGCCGCTGAGTCCCCGCGGAAAGGCAGGTTCTCCCGACCATCGCAGTGCATCCTCACTCACTGCGCTCAGGGGACCCGGCACCAGGCAACTCCTGGATCTTCCGCAAGGTAAAAGCGACCATGAAAAGAAAACCTGTTGAGTCAGCGCAGGACACTGAGACAGCTTGACACACGTGAAAGGGCACTTCCAGAGCAGCTTCTGAAAGTGGCTAGAGTGATGGCCAAGTGTGTCCAGAGTGAGGGGTCTTCTGAAGCGGATTAATCCCAGTGTCTTCTACTGTAACTCATTTTTAAAATGTTAAACATACATCACGCATTTCACCTCCTGTATCAATCTGCCCACCCACCACCTCTCAGTCCCGATTTTCTCTCCTGTTATGATTCAGGTCGGGGTGTCCCCCCAAAGCCTCATGTGTTTGGAGGAGACTGGATCTAAGGGGTGAACCATGGTGAGCTCCTGGCTGGCCCCCTGTTAGGAGGTGGGGTCTGGATGGTCTCGTGGCACTGGGGGTGTGACTGGGTGTGTTTCCATCTCCAGCCCTGCTCCCTCCCTGCCTCCTGGCTGCTGTGGGAAAAGCACGCCTCCCCACCCCTCCCCAGGTCCATCAGCCATGCCACTTCTGCTTTGGAGCTGGATGACCATGGAACAAAGATGTGAGCTGAAATGGTCCTCTCCTTTAAGTCATGGCTATCTGGTATTTTGTCTCAGCTATAAGAAAGTGACTGAGACATACCTACCTATATTAGTCAGTTTTCTGTCACCATAATAAAATACATGTGATAATTAACTTAGAAAGTGTGAAGGTTTATTTTGGTTCAGAGATTTGGAGGTTTTAGCCTACAATCAATTGGTCCCATTGTTTTGGGTCCCCAGCAAGGTGGCACATCATGGTAGGAGTACATGGCAGAGAAAACATTCACCTCATCTCGAAGAAGGGCTGCAGTCTCTGTCTCCTTCCAGGCCATGCCCCCAATAACATACAGACCTCCCACGAGGCCCCACCTCTTAAAGGTTCCACCACTTTTCAGGGATGCCACCTTGGGGATCTTTGGGGGACACTTAAGCCAGACCAGGGCCCAATCTATCCTATCTATCATCTGTCTAGCCTGTCATCTATCTCTTCCATTCACCCACATACCCATCCATCCACCTGCCTATCCCTCAAGCTAATGAACTCTTTAATCCAGTATAGAAAGGTAAAGGAAGCCAACCTCCACCTCACTCAGCCCCTTGCAGCCATTCCCAGTTCTGAGTGACTGTCCCCACCCTACCATTCATATAATGCCAGGCCCAGCTGGTCCCAGCCTCAGGGTGATGGCTAACCCTCTGCCTGTAACACGCATCCCTCCAGCACTGCCTGCTGACCTCCTTACAGGCCCCGCTGCGGCTTCATCTCCTCACTATGCTTATCTCCCTGCTCCTGCCATACCTGGTCACTCTCCAGGTCTCCCCACCACGGTGCTGCCCCCGAGAGCAGATCTGTTTTCAGAGCAGGGCAGGGCAGGCCTCACAGAGGAGCACTTGGGAATGTGCTGGACCATTTTCTATCTGTTCCTCGCCTGCTGTGACAGAGGCACAGGGCTCAGGACACCCAGAGCACTGATTGTGCACCCAAGAGCAGTGAACACAGGCTACAGGAGGTAAGGCTGGAGAAAGGCCAGACCAAGGACCAAGGAGGAGAAGCCCGGACATGGATCAGGAGTGTCCCCCTCCCAGCACAGGCGGTCTGCTGGGTAGGACACTGACCTCTGCTGACATGGACGGTGGCTCTCCCCCAAGGTATCAAAGGTAACAGAACCCAGACAGGGACCAGCAGAGACCAGGAGAGGCAGCCCTGGATGCCAGTGCGATGGCCTCAGGATGGCTGCAAGGCAGTACTCCAGAGAGCAGCAGGACCACAAAGCGTGCTAGCGAGATGCTCCCGGACATTACACAGGCAGTGAGCACAGGCGCCTGGGTGGGGGTCGGCACACAGGACATGTGGGCCCAGCGTGTGCCTCTGGGAACAGGGCTGTGGCCTGGCCTTGGTGCACCCATCTCGGGATCCTCCCTTCCCCAGCCCCATGTGGGTGAATTTCCTCCTCAGAGGAGGAACCACGCCACGTGTTGTTGGCCAACATCTGGCTGCTGTGGGCCAGTTCACACCAGGACACAGTGCTGGTGGCCACAGTGCAAACCACCCTCCAGCCCAGGACTGTGGTCCCAAAAGCATTTTCCTGGGCGAGGCTGGGGGACATCACAGGGTCTGATGGCGTGCAAGTGCCTGCCCTGAATTTGGACAAAGAAGTAGTGTGGCGTGTGCAGGGTCCTGGAAGGGTGTTTATTTTTATTACTTTGCTACAAAGGACACAGAGGGCCCCTGAGCACAGGGCCAGCCATGCACCAGCTCCAGGAGGGCTGCAAAGGCCCCATCTCTAGCGCTGCACACGGAAGTGCTGGGGGCCTCGCCGTGAGGCCGGGGCCTGGAGTTCCGTGTTCCTCACACATGCAGGACAGGCCAGTGGTGCAGGTCCTGGGACGGTGGAGACCACACCTGGCGAAACGTTCCTAAGTCTGAGATGGCATTCTCCCAACTTCTCTATGTGTTGGTATAAAGGCATAAAAGCAGCTGGCTGCAGTATCGCACACCTGCAATCCAGCTGCTCAGGAAGCCCGTGCAGGAAGATAAGGAGTTCAAGGCCAGCTGAGCAGCTTAGCGGGACCCTGTCTCAAAATTTAAAAAAATTAAAAAAGAGACAGGAAAAAGCAGCTAGGCATTGGGGCCTCAACTCAGGGCCCTCTGCCTCCATACCACATCCTGAGACAGGCTGGGGGCCAAAAGGGGTCCCTGACCCCGACTTTCTGGGAAGGCACTGGGATGAGCTGTGTGCTCGGAGGCTTACAAAGCATGCTCGTGAGGGGTCCCAACCCACCCCAGGATGGGGGGAGAAGCACGAGCCATTGGTCATTCTCAATTAGGAAAGTGGGCAGCTGGGCCCCGAGGCAGGGACCAGGGCTCAGCCAGGTCACTGCTGGAGGACAGGGTGAGCACAGTCTAGGGCCTGAGTAGGTGCAGCTGACTCGTGATGGCCACAGAGCCCAGGCGCTGAGGCTGCAGCCTGAGGCCATCAGTGGGTCCACGGGGGCCTCCTAGTGTCTCTGGGTTAGGAGACAGCAGAGGCAGCAGCCACCAGGCGACCCGGCAGGCCCCCCACAGGTAGTGGGGATGCTGGTGTATTGGCAAGGGAAGGAGTGACTCCTTGTCCTTCTGGAATGTCCTGAGACAGAGGCCGGCTGGCTCCTGGTCCGGCTTGTCCTTGGACCTGCTACATGTTCCCAGGCGACAGGAGCTGGGCTCCCCAGTTCTGTCCTTCTGGGTCTTGCGTCCAGCCCTACATGGCAGTCACAGTGGGAGCAGAGGTTTATTCCAGGTGCTGGCCTGGTGGGCTCGGTGTGCTGTGAGTAAGGAGATGGACATCTCAAGGGAGTGCAGTCCTAGGTAAGGGTGACCAGCTGTGGGGCAGGTGCCTCTCAGGGTCTGGAAAGAAGAGAAGATGCATGAGTGCTGACCCCCCTGCTGACAGCTCCTGGCAGGTGCCACATGTGAGGGGCAGACTGGCACCTGGGCTCTCTGGGAGTGACCCATCACACACCAGGGCAGGGCAGGAGCTGTACAGCAAATCAGATGCTGTGCAGGGCCACCCAGGTCCTGGACCAGCAGCACAGCAGCCTTGGGCTGCAAGGCCAAGCCGGTGGGCCCCAGTTGTCGCCTGTGAGGGAATGCACAGCCCTGCTCTCCGCCACGTGCACTGTGGAACAGATGGTTCCAGCCTCCATGAAGCTCACCCTGGCTCCCTGCTCATCTTCCTCCCAGGCTGGTGCCCTCAGGCAGCCGCTCACACTCTCTGAGCTGGGACAGAGGCAGAGGCTGAACATGACATGGGAAATGCTTCTACCCTGGGGTCCTCGACCTATACTCAAGGAATGGGGCAGCCCTGTCTGCGCTGGGTCCATACCGGAGCCAGGGAGGGTACTGCAGGCTTCTTGAGGCCTGGTCAGGGGTAGGGAGATGGGCATCATGGGAGCTCCCATGAGAAACCCCCAAATCCTGCTTTCTTGGTCAAGTGGGCCACAAGGGGGCCGACTCCGAGGGAGGCTGCCTTCTCAGAAGAGAGCTCGGATGAAGCGTCACCTGCTAAGTGGGACTCTGAGGGGAGCACAGCATCATTCTGAGGAACAGCAAGGAACTTCCACCCTCCAAGAGCTTTCCAGGGTTTAAATGGTGGCCAGAGTCTGTGGTGTGGCTCCGGGTGCAGCGCTGGCCTTGCAGGCATGAGGCTGTGGGCTCCGTGTCTAGCGCCACAAACCCAACCCAACCTAACCCATTTCCTCCAAACACTGTGACCACAGGACCTCAAGGTGTCGAGCAGGCAGGGCTGAGCAGGTTTGGCTGAGGGTGCTCTGGCTGGGAAGGAGCCTGGGATGGCCAGGGAGGGATCACCAGGTCCTCAGCTTCCTTGAGGTGGTCAACTGCAGACACTGGCTCCTTCCCACTCACCTGGACCCCCTACTGCTGGGTTGCCATACCCAGGACAGGCTTCTGGACGCCAAAGGCAGTGATGAAGATGTTGACCACCACGATGATGAACACCAGTCCCGTGGCCAGGTTGTTCAGGAAGTCCAGCTTGGCGTGCTTGGCCGGGTTGTTAAGATCATACTTGACTGTGGGGGAGAAGGAATCCGCATGGTGGCAGGCCCCTGGCCATGTGGGCATCGTCTGGACCTTACAGGACCCTCAACCGCACTCAGGGTGGGTTTCACCCTCCCTGCTAGAAACCGCCTGTTTTGCTGAAATCCTGACAGCAGGCCCTCTGCCCTGGGCGGCCCTCCTTCTGTGGTCCTCCACCCTCCCCACAAGGAGCCAAAGCCCAGGCAGGTCACACACCCAAGGCCACACTGCTTTTGGACATCAAGTCAGCTAGGTTTGGTTTCTGAGGCAAATGTGCCAAGTCCCTCCTGTGCTCCATCCATGGCTCCACCCAACTGCCCACAGCTCTGCTGGGCCCCCTTTCCCAGCTGGGAGAAAGAGGGCCCAGCAGGTCCACCCACGTGTCCCAAGCCATCCTGCCAGGAGGCAAAGCTGGAATTGAGTTGGTGCCTGCACTGGTCCTGACCAGAACTGAGCCTCTGGCCAGCCCTGGGGGTCCTGGCAGCAAAAGGTAGCAGCCTGTGGAGCCCCGGAACACCCATGGGGCCCGGCTGACTTCCTGCCTGCCTGTGCTCTGTGGGTCTGTCTGTCCATCAGGCAGAGGAAGTGGTTCTGACGGCCAGTTTGGGGAGCATGAAGTTCCCATGGCTGTGCCTTGCAATGTGGGTGCGGCTGGCTCACCTGTCCGCAGGTATGGGGTCCCTACCTCCCAAGCCTAGCGGAGGCTGGGTCCCCTCCGCACTCACTTCCTAACCTGGCCACTCTTTATCACTGGGCGCTGAGCCGGACTGCTGTGCTGCCGCTGGAACTGTGGGTGGCAGGAAGCCCCAGGCATCTGGGAAGCAGGCCTCCCCTCAGGACCCCGCGCATGCGTCCACCCTGGCGTGTGCTCCGACACTGACCGAGGAAGATAAGCAGCACGCCCACGCCGATCTGCAGCACCAGGGAGATGGAGATGAGGACCACCAGGGGTACGAAGAAGGAGAAGGCAGGGCCCTGCTCCACCACGGCCTTCAGCTGCGACGCGTTGGCCATGAGCAGCGCGATGTCCAGCATGCTCTCTGCGGCGCTCTTCTTGTTGGCGTAGTGGTTCACGTTGATGGGCTGGTTCCTGCGGCCCCAACGGGATGGCGGCTGTGGGGACAGGGACACTCAGCAGAGCCAGGGGAAGCGGGGACCTGGGGAGGACACAGGGAAGGGGCGGCGTGTGCATGGGGGTGGCGGGTGGGGCTGGAGGGACCCAGCTGAGGGCATGGCAGGGGCAGCTGGCTCTGTCGCCCACCCGATCAGACGCCTGTTACTCTAGGAAGAGGATGTGCCCAGCCTTTGCCACCTGCTCCCTAGAGACAGAAGAGGGACAGGAAGCATCCAACAGCCACCTCAGCACCCACAGTCTGGTTTATAGCTGGAAAATGCCCAGGGGAAGGCCCTGGACTTCCTCCCTGCCCACCTGTCTAGCTGTGCCCTTGGGGTCTGCATGGCTGCCTGGCTGCTATGCCACGTGGGTGGGCAGATCCTAGCACACTAGTCCAGGCCAGGCACAGGCCCTTTCTAGGCAGGGCCCAACTCAGACCCCACTGCCGTCCCCACCCCGCCTCCTGGGCCTCAGTGTCACCACAGCAGTCTGGCCACCTTCCCTAGCCACATGCTGCTCGGGCAGGAGCCCCCCACACACAAGGCAGGCCCTCAACAGAAGGCTTGGCGTCCTGCACACAGGAGGCTCAGTGCACAAACACTGGTGATACTGGGGTCCAGCCCCGCTGGCCCAGGTAACACTCCCAGCGCCACCTCTATCTCCCTAACCCAGCGCATCTGTTTGGGGAACCCTGCATCTCCCTCTGTTCTGACACCTTTCATTGTTCCCAGGTTCACTTATGCTCTGGGGATTCTTAGGGCTAGGTTTTTTAAATCTAAAGAGAAAAAGAAAGAGTGATACAGAGTTTCAAAATAGGATAATAGGAAATTAACAATGGTTAATATATTGCATAGTTATTTTCAAAGTAGCTGCTCACATTACAAAATATAGGCATGAATAATTGGCCGAACAATATTAGCACAAAATGTTCTTTTCAATGCACTAAAAGAAATTAATAATGTAATCATCTTAGGAACTATACATATACACACTAGCTAAGAACCTCCTTTCTCCTTTCCCTCATCCATTTCTTCCTGCCTTTGAAGCAGTTTCTTTCCCTTTCACAATCTCTGCTGGAGATGATGGCTCTTACTCTTTCAGTTTCTCACACTAGGAAGACAACACAGTGTTTACACAGGTGAGTCTGATTTATTTCACGTATGAGTGTGGTCTCAAGTTGCTTCCATTTGCCTATAAAAGCCTTCTTCTTTATAGTACTCTATTGTATCAAAACACATCTTTTCTACTCATTCTTTGGTTTATGAGCGTTTGCATTGTTTCCAAGATTTAGCTATTACAAATTGTGCTACTATAAACATAGGTGCACATATATTGCTATGGCATGATGTTTTTAATTTATCTGGGAAAATACTCAGAAGAGGACTAGCTGGGTTGAATGTACCTCCAATCCTAGTGTTTTGAGGAATCTCCGCACTGATTTTCACAGTGGTTGCATCAGTCTACACTCCCACCAACAGTGGAGAAGGGTTCCTTTTTGCCCCCAGCCCCTCAAGCATTTGTTACTTGTTGATTTTTTGATGATAGTCATTCTTTCTGGGGTGAGGTGGAATCTCAGTGTGGTTTTAATTTGCATTTCTCAAATGACCAATGATGCTGAACATTTTTTCACATATTTATTTGCCATTTGTATTTCTTCATCTGAGAAGGACATATTTATTCAGATGCCCATTTTTGGATTGGGTCTTTGAATTTGTGGGGTCTGATTTTTTTTCAGTTCTTTATATGTTCTATATAAAAGTCCTTTGTCTGAGGGACAGTTGACTAAAACTCTTTTTCATTCTGTTGGTTTCTTTTTGATGTGTAAAAATGTTTTCTTTTCACTCTGTTGGTTTCTTTTGATGTGCAAAAATGTTTTAAGATCCTTATCTCAGTTGATCCTTTGAAGTACTTCCCAGGCAGTTTGTCTGTGAACTCTCTGCCTAACCCTATGTCTTTAAGATTTCTACCTACTTTGTCTTCCAGTAGATTTAGTGTTTCTGTTTCAGTAGTTAGATCTTTGATCCATTTACACTTTGGTTTAGTGCATGGTGACAGACATGTGTATAGTTTTAGCAAATGGAAAGCCAGTTTTTCCAGTACCATGTATTAAAGAGGCTGTCTGTCTTCTAATGACCCCTTTAGCCCCTTTGTTAAAGGTGGTTGTGTTTGTAGCTGTGTCTGCATCTTCTAGTCTGTTCCACTGATCCTCAGGTCTGTTTTTTTTTTTTTTTTTTTACGGGTACCATGCTGATACTGATTTTATCACTGTGGCTTTGTAGTATAATTTCAAGTCAGGGATTGTGATGCCTTCTGTCTTGCCTTCATTGCCCAGGACTACCTTTGCTATTCAAAGTCTCTTCTGGTTCCAGATGAATTTTAGAAATGTTTTCTCTAGATCTGTGAGGTATACTAATGGTTTTTTGATAGGGATTGCATTAGATCTGTGTAACAGTTTTGGCAGTTTGGCCGTTCTCAGTGATGGTTCTTCCTGTCCACAAGCAAGGGATGGTTTTCCATGTTCTGATAACCCTTTGATCTCTTTTTTCAGAGTGCTATAATTTTCAATGTATAGATCTTTACTTCCTTTGTTGGACTGATTCCAGAGTCTCTCTGTCTGCTTTTCTTTCTTTTTTTTTTTGGATGTTACTGTGAGAGTGTGGTTTCCCTAATTCCTCTCTCAGGGAGTTTATTTGTGCACAGGAAGACTATTGATTTTTTAAATAAAGACCATCTATTCCGATTTCTTGTAGGGTTTTTATCATGAATGGGTCCTGGACTGTGTCAAAAGCCTTTCCTGCATCTATTTAGATGATCATATGATTTTTACCCTTGGCTCTGTTAATATGGTGTATTACATTTATGGATTTATGTATGTTAAACCATCCTTGCATCCCTGGATGAACTGTATTTGATCATGGTATACAATTTTCTTGACAATTTGCTGCAGTCTGTTTGCCAGTAACTTATTGAGGATTTCTGCATCAATTAGGGCCTGTAATTCTCTTTCTTAGTTGGGTATTTCTCTGGTTTTGGTATCAGAGTAATGTCTGCTTCCAGGAATGAATTTGAAAGTATTGTTTCCCTCTCAGTTTCATTAATGAGTTTGAGAAGTTGTGGTGTTAGGTCCTCCCTAAATTTCTTATAGATTCAGCAGAGAATCCATCAGGACCTGGGCTTGTCTTTGTTGATGGGTTTTTAATTACATCTTCAATTTCATTTATTGATATTAGGTTATGTAGGATTTTTATATCTTCTTGATTCAGCTTTGGTAATTCATATGTATCTAGAAATATGTCCATTTTTCTGCATTTTCCAACTTATTAGAATACAAGTTTTCAAAGTAGGTACAGATGGTTTTCTGATTTCTTCAGGGTCTGTAGTGATTTTGCCCTTTTCAATCTTAATTGTGTGGATTTGAGTCTTTTCTTTCCTTTTTTGGAAGGTTGGCTAAGGGTTTGTCAGTTTTATTTAATCTTTCAAAGAACCAACTCTTTGATTCATTGATTCTTTGTACTGTTTTTTGTCTCCAATCTGTTAATTTCTGCTCTGATCTTTGTAATTTCCTTCCTTACGCGAGCTTTTGGTTTCACCTGCTCTTCTTTTTCTGTAAGTTTGAGGTTCAATATTAAGTTGTTTATATGAGCTTGCTTTGTGTTCCTGATATGAGCATTTACTGCTATAAATTTTCCTCTTAAGACTGCTTTCATTGTGACCCACAAGTTTCACTATGTTGTATTGTAATTATCATTCAACTGTAAAAACTGTCTAATTTCTTTAATTTCATCTGTGTTCAGTATGGTGCTATTTGATTTCCATGTGTTTATGAAGTTCTTGTGGTTTCCTTTGGCATGAATTTCCAATTTCATTGCACTGTGGTCTGATAGTATTCATGGGATAATTTCAACTTCTTTGCATTTACTTTAGCATGTTCTATGAGCCAGTACATGGTCTATTTTGGACCATATGGTTTATTTCCTTGTGTGCAGCTGAGATGAATGTGTACTCTGATGTTGTGGGGTGGAACACTACAGACATCTACTGAGTTCACTTGTTCAAAAGTTTTAGTTCTAATATTTCATTATTGACTTTTTTGTGTAGTTGATCTGTCTTTTTGTGACAGTGGGGTATTGAGACCTCCCAATACAATTGTATTAGGGCTTGATTTTTCATGTCCATTAGTAATTATTTTAAATAGCTGGGTGCACTAGTATTTGTTGCATATATATTTATGATTTTTATCTCTTTCTCTTGGATTGTTCCCTGTATGAGGACCTTCTTTATCTCTCTTAATCAGTCTTGATTTGAAATTCACTTTGTCTGAAAATAGAATGGCTACCCCTGCTCTTTTCTGGCTTCCTGTTGCATGGAGTGTTGTTTTCCATCCTTTGACTTTGTCCGTTAATTTCTTTTTTAATTAAATGTTTCTTGTATGCAGCATATTGTTGGATCTTGCTTCTTGATCCATTCTGCCAGTCTGTGTCTCTTGGCTGAATTGAGACCATTAACATTGATGGTTATAACCGATATGTATGACTTGTCCTTGTCATGTTATTTTCCTATTGTTGGCTTCTCCGTTTTTTCCTTCCTTCTAATTGTTTGCCTTCCTTGGCAGATTCCTTCTTTTGGGGTTCATGGAGCTGTAGTCCTTAATTACCTCTTACTAGAAAGTCCTTCAGAACATTTTGGAGTACTCATTTGGTGGTCATAAATTTCCTCAGATGTTATCATGGAAGTATCTTATTTCTCTACTAATTTTGTGTGTGTGTGTGTGTGTGTGTGTGTGTGTGGTACTGGGGATTGAACTCAAGACCTTACACTTGCCAAGCAGGCGCTTATGCCGCTGAGCTAAATCCCTAGCCCCTCTCCATTAATTTTGAAAGATAGTTTTACAGGATATATCAACCTGGGTTGAAAGTTGTTTTGCTTTAGAACTTGGAATACTCCAAGCTCTCCTTGACTTGAGAGTTTGTGCCAAGAAGTCAGCTGTAATTCTGATGGG